GGAGAGGCGGACAGTAAATAAAATACATAGATTTTTTAAATAGTATGTTAAATATGAGAGGTATTATGAACAAAAATAAAGCAGGAGAGGAAGGAAGATGGGCAATGCTGGGGGCTGTGTGAGACAGAGAGAGAGAGAGGTGCTTTAAACAAGTGTCAGACAAAGGCATCATCCTCAGGGGACCCTTGAGTAAAGACTTGAAGAAGTTAAGGGTCAGTTTCGCTCGAGAGGTGAGTGTGTCTGGGATGTTCCTGGTCCACAAATAGTCCAGAGGCAGGGGGAGAGAGCAGTAGATGAGGTCTAAGAGGTAAAGGGTATGGGTGTAGTTCTGGCAGGTCTAACACACGGAGTATCCGGAGATGATTTCCAGTGTCCAGCTGTCACTTATCACATGGTTAAGCTATGGACATCCACAGTTACAGAGGGAAGCTTGGTTACAAAACGTTTACAATTTCTCCCGTTCATACCTTGAACACAAATTTCATGCTAAATTTTTTTTTTCAAAAGCAACCTCAAGCCTTAAAATAAGAATTCAGGACCAAATAGATTTCATCTAGCAATCCCACTTCTGAGTATATACTCAAAAGAATTGAAAACGGGGACTTGTGAAGCGGTTTCTGGTGGTATTATTCACAATAACCAAAAGATGAAACAACCCAAGTGCTCACCGATGGATGAATGGCTAAACAAAAGTGGTCTATCCATACAATGGAATATTATTCTGCCTTGAAAAGAAGGGATACTCTAGGGAAGGGTATAGCTCAGTGATAGAGCACCTGCTTAGCATGCACAGGGTCCTGGGTTCAATCCCCAGTACCTCCATTAAAATAAATTAATTAATAAAAACCTAATTATCTCCCCCCTCAAAAAACAAACGCAACAACAACAAAAGAAAGGATATTTTAAAACTGGCTATGACACAGATGAATCTTGAAGAACTTTTTTTTATTATTTTTAAAAATTTTTTTAGGAGGGAGGTAATTAGGTTTATTTATTTAGTTAATGGAGGTAAGGGGATTGAACCCAGGACCTTGTGTATGCTAAGCAGGTGTTCTACCACTGAGCTATACCCTACGCCCCTAAATTATTTAATTTTTTAAACTACTTTTGTGAAGAGAGGTAGTTAGGGTTATTTATTTATTTTGGAGGAAGTACTGGGGATTGAACCCAGGACCTTGTGTATGCTAAGCAAGTGCTCTACCCCTTGAGCTATATCCTCTCCCTGAAGACTGTTAAAAAACAAAATTCAACTGAGCAAAATTTAAAGATCTTATTGGCTTTATTTAAGGATTTATGAATCAGGCAGCATCCAATCTAGCAGATTAAAGAGGAGCCCTGAGGAGCTGTGCAAAGTGAAAGGCTTTTACAGGCAGATGAGAGCAGGAATAAAGAAGTAAACGGGGCAAGAAGCAGACTGGTTGTGGCAAGGTCGCTTTCCTTAAGGGGGATGGCAGGACCTACCAGGCAGATGACCTCACTGGTGCTGACCAGGTGATTCCTGATTGACGGCTTTAAGATTCCATTTCTGCAGGAGGCCAAAACTCTAATTAAGTCTTGGTTTGGTAATGTGAGGCTTAGCGTAAGTGACTCCATTTGGGGCCTGTTGTCTTGTTTTTAACAGGACATGATACTAAGTGAAATAAGCCAGTCACAAAAGGACAAATACTGCGTGGTTCCACCTATATGAGGTTCCTAGAATAATCAAACTCATAGAACAGAAAGTAGAATCGAGGTTCCCAGGGGCTTGGGGAGGGGGAAAAGGGAGTTATAGTTTAATGGGTACAGAGTTTGTTTAAGACAATGAAGTTCTGGAGATGGATGATGGTGATGACTGCACTATGAGTGTACTTAATGCCACTGAACTGTATACTTAAAATTGGTTAAAATGGTATATTTTATTTTATTTTTTTTTGGCAGGGGGTGGGTAATTAGGTTTATTTATTTTATTCATTTATTTTTAAATGGAGGTACTGGGGATTGAGTCCAGGACCTCACCATTGAGCTACAACCACTGAGATATACCCACCCCCCAAAATGGTACATTTTAGTTATCTTTGAAAAAATAAAAATTAATTGATTAATTTAAAAAACCCAGAATACCAAATATATTATTCCTATGGAATGTGTATATACGTATTTGTCTCCAAAAAATCTTTTAGAACATAAAAACATCAAGAGCAATAACATCTTGTAGCTTCTGCATCAGCTTTCAGAGGTGCAGGGCGCTTTGTGGAGTGGATAACAGGAAATAGGTTCTGCCTAAACAGAAGGAAAGGAAATGGTCATTTCCCTGCTTGTCTTCAACATTGTTTATGTAAAAATATTCTGCCCTCTTAGATGTTTTGACTTTTGGTATCCTCCTCCTAGGCAAGCAGGAAGCCCTGAGGGTTAACATCTTTACTCTTTGTTTCTAAGCAACAGCTGAAAGTCAGCATATGAGAAAGAATTTTTAATTAAGGAGGGCAGAGTTAGAAAGAGAATCTCAATTTTATTTACTTCCCACATCACCTCCCAGGCAGGAATTCCTATACTTGAAGTTACACGATTTCTCCTAGTTTATAAACCATGAGCCTAATCAAGTTTAAGATTTCTGTACCCTTCGCCAAATACTTTCTTTAGCGTAAAGATCTTCCTTGGATCCAAAAAAATTTAAGGAACAGTGATAACATACTTGGTAACACAAAAGCCCTTTGAATTCCCAACTGCCTCAACCGCAGTCTATTTCTTTTCCTGTATTTACATTCATTTACCAGAAGAAAAAAGGAATTAAAAAAAAACTTTATTCTATACTACCGATGAATTTATTTTTCACAAAATGTTTTAATCAAAAACATGCATAATTTAAAAACTATGTTTTATAGCATCACATTCCACTTTCTTGAGGGCTGAGTGTCCACATAAATTATTTGGAACTCTTCTGCTAAGAATACTTGCCTATTTTGCTCATTTATTCCATATTTATTAATATCAGTATGAACTCAATAATATTTATCATATATTTTGGGTTATAACCTAATAGTGCTTTATTTTGTTGTTCTAATTGTTCTAGTGTTGGTCATTGTGGTCTTACGTGTGCCTAACAGAAGGAAAAACAAAACAAAAAGCCAAAACTGAGTACCCACTGTATGCAGGTGATGTCTTTGGTCCTTTTTGGCTATTTATTTATTTATTTATTTATTTTAATGGAGGTACTGGGGATTGAACCTAGGACCTCATGCATGCTAAGCACGCACTCTACCATTGAGCTATACCCTCCCCCTTCACCCCAGTTTCTTAATCTGTAAAATAGGAATAATGTCTGTTTGCAAGGTTGGGGTGAAGATTAGATGAATAACTTATAAAATTAACACACACGCCACAAAAGGACGAATGCTTCCAATTTTAGGAGCCTGGCATAGTCAAATCCATAGAGACAGAATGCAGAATGGAGGTTACCAGGGGCTGAGGGGAGGCAGGAAGGGGGAGTCAGTGTTTAATGGGCACAGAGTTTCAGTTCAGGATGATGAAAAAGTTCCAGAGACGGATAGTGATGATGGTTGTGCGACAATGTGAGTGTACTCAGTGCCACTGAAATGCATTTGAAAATGGCTAAAATGGTAAAAAATTTTATGTTACGTACATTTTGGCCCTCACGAAAAAGTACAAAGTAATATATGCTCACTGTTGAAAATTTAGAAGACATTTAAAAAAATGTTTTAAATCCTTAGTAATCCCAGTACTCAGTGGCCATATCCTTTTTTGTCATTTGTAGCCTCTGTATTCTGTTTGGGTCCTACTCATACAATTTCGTTCTTTTAACATTACATCACAAGCATTTTCCCACGCTGTTCAAAACCCAGCAAACGTTCTTATTAGCTGCATGATATTCTACCATCATTTATTTAATCCTTGTCATATTTTCAGATGTATTTTTCAACATTAGAAAGAAGCATTATAATGAAGACCTCTGTGACTAAACACATTTTATTCCCATTTTGAAATACATCTTTAACACGGACACTGAAGTAGAATTACTGGACCAACAGGCAAACATTTTTAAGGCATGTGATGTAACTTGTCATACTTTTCTGAAGGCACACTGATTACACTGTCACAGGCTCCCTGGCGATACCCATCTGAAGGCACCCACATCTGTTGTCCGTCATCCCTTTATAAAATCTTTTCTACCTTAGTGGATTAATTATAGTATCTTATTGTTGCAACCTTGTCTAACTTTCTTTTCCTCGCCTCCCCCACATCCTTATACTCAATGCCTTTTAAAATCATTTGTGTGACATTTTATAGTTATTTATTAATTTCCCTCCTCTTTGCTTTTGATTAGTTTTAATCATTGTCATAATCTGTTGCTCTTTAAAAAAAATGTGGAACCATTTCAGTCTCTGAAGTTCTTTGATTTTTCTTTAAATCCATGTATGTAAGTCACATAAAGCTTGAATTTTCAGACGCAGCGTCCGTGGGATACCGAGGAACAGATCCTGTTTAAGCGAGGGGCCCGAGTCCAGGCCTGCGGCCCTCAGGATTCTGTCGCTGGGCTCTGCTGATAATACAGCACTTGTGGCATCCAGGCCCAGCGCTGGTGACGACCGCAGCCGCCCAAGTGGTCCCAGGGCACGCGCACCCTCCCGCATCGCCCAGGCTCTCTGTACCCAGCCTGGGGCTAACCAGAGGAAGCTCCCACCCACCCCCATAGAAAGCCACATCCTTTTCCAAGGTCCCCATCGGTGGGAAGGGTGCTCTCATCTCGAGAGCTCTCTCCTGATAGCGCCGCTGCCCACAGCCCACCCCACCCCCGCCCCAGTTTGAGCAGAGCGGCCACGGTGTCCCGGCGCCCGCGGTCCAGCACCAGAGGCAGGGCGGGTCACAGGCTTCTATAGCCGCCCCCCAAACCCCGCGTCCGCTCTAAAGTGGTGGACGTGAGATTTTCCGCAAATCTGGGACCTAGATTCTCGTGCAGGAACCAGAACACCAAGGGCCGCAGAGACCCCAGGGAGGCGGAAGGAAGCCAGGGACCCTTCTCTTCACCACCGGGCACGGGAGGCCCCTCCGCGATCTCCCTGTAGTTTCCAGCCCCGGAGAGGGTGCACCCGACGCAACCGCCCAAGACCCCCGCCCGACGTGTCCCCCTCTCCAGGCTTCCCGTGTCACTTCCCGCCGTCCCCTCCCCGAGCTTCCTTGCCCCCGCCCTTGGCGATCCTCCCAGGGTTTCCTTTGTCCCCTCCACACCCTTGCCCTGGGCTTCCCGATTCCCCTCCTTGACCTCGTCCCCTCCCCACCGCCGCGCTCCCTCCCAGGCTTTGCTAGTCCTTCTCCGGTGCCCTCCCCACCCTCTCCCGGGTTTCCCGAGTCCTCTCCCCGCCCCGCCCCCGTTTTTAAACCTGGCGCCGAGCGCGCGGGTAGGTGAGCGCCCTAGCCCGAGCGGTTAAAGGCGCGGCCGAGCGCTGGCGCCGCTGGAGGGGCGCGGGTTCCGAGGGCACCATGAGATCAGAGGCAGCCGCCGGAGCCCGGGAGGCGCGGGGACGCGTCTGTGACTGCCCGGGAGACGGGCCCCCGGAACCACTGCCGCCGCGCGGGTCCGAGAGGTGAGGCTGTCCCTGCGGCGCGTCGGTGCGGGGAGCGCAGAGAAGATGCTCCGGCCGCGCTGAGCACCACGAATCCGCGCGGAACCCCGGAGCCCGACGGCAACGCCGAGCATATTCCTTAGCCAGAGCCAGGGACGCAGAATCGTCTCGGTTCCAGAACACAGTTCTGAAGCGCAGAGGCCCAGGAGGTGCCTGGCAAGGAAACGGGCCGACTCTTCGGTTTATAGATCTGAAATGCACCGGGCTGGGAACGTTGAAGCCTTCAGGGCCCCTCAGCGAGCCTTGCAGGGAGTCATCTCACGTTAGTTGTCACATTGTTGGTGACATCCTTTGTTTGCCCTGTGTTTGGGGCTCAGCTTTCGCTGTCCCCGGGCACCGGTCCTTTTTAAGGTAGTTAAAAAAAATCAAATTAGCAGGGGAGATGTGGAAGGGACTGGGTGGCCAGGCAGCAGAAGAGAGGAAACTGATTCCCCCTTTTTGCATCGTGAAACTCAGTAGAACCCTGTCTGTACAATCAACATCCTTCAGCAGCTGGTTGAAGTTAGTGAGCCACGGAGTAGTCAGTCTGGTGGGGAGAGTGAATTGCAGAATCCAGCCAGGGTGGGAGAGAAAGTCCTCAGATAATGTGTCCCCTGATGATTGTATCAGATTTGAGAGTTCTCAAAGCCCCGTGAAGGTAGAGAACTGGGAATGTGGCAGGAGAAAAAAGCACAAATGCACTGGCCACAGCCTGAGAACTTGAGAGAATGTTCTAGTGGGTCTAGTGACCCTCAGGCAGACATTAGGAGTGATCAGAATGAAAACTCTTATGATCTAATTTTAAAAGCAGAAGATGCTGGATTTCACTCTTGGTCCCTGCCGTTCCAGCCAAGCGCCATGGAGACCTTGGATCCTGACACCCCAGGATGCTGAGCCGACAGGAACCCGAGGCGCGGTAAGGTTAAGTATGGACATCATAGGTGTCAAGCAGTTCAGCGAGCAAGTGGCATCATTTCTAAAATAAAGGGACCGTGAAAGGCCTCCTCGGCCTGTCCCTTCCTTAGTCATCTAAGTGCCTTGGGATCTGGGAGTAGGATCCTGGGCCAGCTAGGTGTTGATCAGACCTGACTCTTATGCCAGTTGGCTCCAGCTTGCTTCTTCTTTCTTGAAAAGCAAAGCCACTATGGCTGCCACTATGGGTTCAAGGGCAAATTAAAAGACATTCCTTCTCTGCTGTTTTTTCCCCCTGTTAACCGGCAGGTAGAGGTGAAGGGAAGACTGCTTCTGTCCCCCTCACCTTAGAGAAAAGTTCGGTATGCCATTAGTGCTGGGCTGGTGCCACAGTGCAAATATGGGCAGAGCCCTGTCTGGAGTGCCCAGAAGGTATGGGTAAAAGTCCCCACCTGCCGTCTGGCCCTTTCTGAAGCTTTTTGGGCCCTGTCCGCAAGCACTTCTGGGGTAACTCATGTTGTCTGAGCAAATACACTCCAGCTGAAGGCTTTGTGGGTGAAGATTAATCACTGCCACTATTCTTTTGTCTATTGCATTGGTAACTAAATTGCTTTATACTTACTGAAGTAATGACTTGCTTTCATAGAATGTGCCTTTCCTTTGTTGTATTAAAATGTTAGTTGAAATATTTTAGACTCCCTTATTAAATTAGTCTGAATGATGAGACTTTTAATTCAGTTACTATTTAAAGAATGAAGCAAATAAAATCTATATGAAATTAATGAGGGACATGATTTTTTTTAGCCCAAGTTATTCTTACATGCAGTATCTAAATGATGGAAAACAATTCCTCCTTTTGCATTCAAACTTAAGTTCTTAAACATAAGACTTAAAAGGTACTTGGGTACAGGGGGGGTATATATAGCTCAAGTGGTAGAGTGCATGCTTAGCATATACAAGGTCCTGGGTTCAATCCCCAGTACCTTCTCCAAAATTAATTAAATAAATAAATAAACGTAATTACCTCCCCCTGCAAAAAAAAAAAATTTAAAAAAAGGTGCTTGGGAGAAAACATCCTATTTTAAGTGAAATGTATGTGGAACCTATCAGTTGTTTGCAAGAATAAAAAGAAAAGCACACTTCCTAATGTAAGGCAGTTTGTTTTTCTATTATGATGAGAGGGCCTTTTGTGAGAAAAATGATTACTTGCAGAAAAATGTTAAGCCACGAGAACTTTCTAGTTGATTATCAGCATGGCGCAAAAGATGAAGCAGTTGTGTCCATGGATTTTGGGGGCGGGGGGAGTGGGTGTGCGTGGGGGCTGTAGGGCTCTCTGCCTGGTTCTTCCCGGGACGGATCTTTGCAGAGCCCGACTGGCCGGGCGGAGCGCTCAGCGGCGGTGACCGCAGACCCCAAGCGCCTCGGGCGCGGTTCCCGGGCGCCCCAGCCTGGTGAGGAGCAGCCGGGAGCGGGGAGGGACGGCTTCTTGCTCAGCAGCGCCCTCTCCCGACAGAGCAGGAGACTCCCTCGATTCCCGAGCCCTGTTGTGTACTTCTTAAAAAATATTGGCTGGGAGGGGTGGGAGTGGTGGGACTACTGCCTAGTGACCTGTACCAGGATTGCGGGCAAGCAGATCAAAATTAGAATACAATCTAAGTTCGAGGGAAAGTTTCAAAGCCCTGTGTCCTGAGCAGCAGGGTCACCCTCACTCATTTGATTCCCCTACCACCACTTGGGAGCTGTCTCCCTTCCCGCCTGGGAACAATGAAAGACAGCCTAAACCTGCAAGGGAGACGACTTCCTAGGACATGTCAGGGACTGTGTTCTAGGTCTGTCCTTCCATCTTCCAGGCTCCCTGCATCCTAGCATCTCCGGAGTCAGAAGCATGCATAGGGAGGAGGCAATGAGACCCTCAAGAAAATCTCTCCTGTATCTGTTCTCTCGCTCTTAAGAAAACCCACCCCCTTAAACACGGCGTGTAACTTGTATATGTTTCTGTTCTCCTGACTTATCAAAGGGTGAATATTTAGACATTTTCAGTCATCAGAAAATGATCTTTAATGATGATACTTGTGGTGTGAAGTTTTAAAAGCTGTGTATGTTTGTGGGGGAAAGTTGATAGAGTCTATTAAAAGTGAGCTGTGTATTTCACAGAGTCTGGTTAGGATTCATCACTTAAACGAAGCTATTTCTCTGTACTACCCACACTGACTTTAGGTGTCCATCAAGATTTGCATTGTCCATTACATCCTCTGCCTTCACTGGGTATAAAATCACCTCTGACAGCCAGAATTGCTTATGGTGGTAGAGTGAGCCTGAGCAATTAGAGATATTTTATAATTACAAACAGTGCTTAACACAGACCTGAATTCCTGGAGTCCTCAGAGAGTGAATTTCATTGTGGAAAAAGTTTTGTTCCAAAGAGTCTCATACTATTTCTCTTAGCTCACCATAGCATATTATAAAAATAAGGCTGCTAAAATGTCAAGGAGCCTTATGGTTTCAAGTCTTTTGTTCAGATTTTTAACTTGGTCTGAGTTATTTTTTGTGTATGGTGTAAGATAGGGGTCCAGTTTCATTCTTTTGGATGAGGCTGTTCAGTTTGTTCAACACCATTTATTAGACTGTTCTTTCTCCAGTGAATAGTCTTGGCTCTGTTGTCATAAATTAATTGATGATATATGTATGTTTATTTCTGGGCTGTCTATTCGGTTCCGTTGATCTACGGGTCTATATTTATGCCAGTATCACACTGTTTTGATTACTGTAGCTTTGTAATATAGTTTCAAGTCAAGAAGTGTGATGCCTCAAGCTTTGTTCTTCTTTCTCAAGATTGCTCTGGCTATTCAGGGCCTCTCCTCTGCTCTTGATATTTAAGTGGTCTGGGGTGTTAGGGATGCTACTCAATGTCTGGAATCTTTTCCAGAAAAATTTCCTTTCCCTTCTGGTCCTTGTCACTAAAGTTCAAATCTTTATCACGTCTTGCCAGATGCCTCCAAGCCCTCACTTCACCAATCTGGGCTCTGCACTGCTCCCAGCAGCTACTATTTTCCTTAAAACTCAGATCTGATTGTTGAACTCCCAGCTCAAAAATCGGTCATGGTCTTGAGTGCCTGCCTCTAGAATGAAACCTAGACTCAATAGTGGGTATTTGAGGTGTTAGTATCCGGACTCAGCTTACTGTTGTAGCCCTTTTACCCCTGCAGTGTCTCCTTCCTTCCACACTGGGCTCCACCTTTCCCTACGTGTGCAGTCTATTTTCCTGCCCCTTGGAATTTGATGCTCTCCTCCACCAGGAATGGGCCCAGAACTGCATACCCAAGTGCCACTGATGTCTTAACCAGGCCCCATGAACCCCTTCCTGATCCTCTTCCTTGCCCGGGACCCCATGACAAAAGTAAGAGGAACAGGGGCTTATCAAATACTGTTAAGGTGTTTAAACTGTCTCCAAAATTGGAACTGATGCTAACAAGTGCAGGCTACTGAGATTTTATTTCCAAACACTTCGGGATGCTACTCTGAGGCTCATTGACTGGGTCTGAGTTTGTATGTGTCTGTCTTTACAGCTTGAGCCTGGGGGTGACCAACAAACATTTGGATCAAAAGGGGCCTTTGGGTTTCAGCATCCTGTAAGGTAATATCTGACTTCACTGTAAGAAATATTTCATTTCCTATTTTTTTCTCCTTTTAAAAATCTTTTAAAAATCAATTGCTTTTAATATAAGCATTAATACACTCTAGTGTCTTCAAGGGTATACGTTTCCAACAAATGGAAAATAATTTAGTATATTCCCCAATATCATTTAGTTATTATCACTCCAAGGAACTTCAAAGATACTTTGTTGGATTTCTGGAATCTATTCATTTATTCATTCATTCAGTGTTTCAGTTGTACGTTGAAATTGGCCTCTCTCTTCTCTTTACATCTTTTGTTTATACCTCTCATTACATATTTTGCCTTGTGTTAAATTTAATTGCATATGAATTATATATATGTATCAGCTTATTTGCTTAGACTTAGGTGTGTTTCTATTTTTCTCCCAGGATATAAGTTAATATATTACCGAGTGCAAAGCAGACTTCTTAAATGATGGATTGGATAGATGCTGGACCACAGTTGGTTCCTCTGGCCTCTCTCAGTTCTTTCGTGGTCCTGGCAGCCATCAGGACCCTACGGCTGTATCCTCTTTCATTTCTTCCATTTTAGGCAAGTGGTTCATGCTCAGGGTTTTTATCTGTTTCTCTGTGTCCAGCTCTCCTTTTCCTCTTAGCCTGTCTCTCTCCAGCTCTCATTTCCTTCACTGAAACAAACCTAACCTAGTGAATGCTGTCACCTCTTGTCAGAGTATTTTTTACCCTAGTTATCCTGGAAGACTGGGAGCATTTTTTTTTAATTGAATTATAGTCAGGGTACAATTTTGTGTCAATTTCTAGTGTACACCACAATGTTTCAGTCATACATATACATGCATACATTCCTATTCATATTCTTTTTCATTATAGGTTACTACAAGATAGTGAATATAGTTCCTTGTGCTATACATTATAAACTTGTTGTTTTGGAAGCTTTAATAAAACCCAAAGAGAGGGAGAGTATAGCTCAGTGGTAAAGTACATGCTCAGCATGAACAAGGTCCTGGGTTCAATCCCCAGTACCTCCGTTAAAAAAATAAATAAATAAACCTAATTACCACCCCCCCAAAAATAATAAAAAATAAATAAAATCCCAAGATTTTAATTGCTGAAGATGAAATTTAGAGCCCACCATACTGATCAAAGAGTGATTTTTGTGAAAAAGGAAGTTTTCCTAGTGTTTCACATCAGTGGTTCTTCAATCCTTACTCGAGAAGCTTTAAAAATACATATGCAGGGTGATTCCTCTGGGGTCAGGAGAAAGGTGCAGGTATCTACTTTTATAGGCTTCCCAGGTGATCTTACATGCCACTGGGGTTGGGAACCACCCCTCCTTCATGCCTGGTGAAACTTCCCCTGCACACCTGCCCCCTGGACCTGCCTTGCAGACTTTCTGCTGCTCCCCAATTTTTGATTCATTGAGAATGCAGTGACTGGCAATATGTGAGCTGCATCTTTGTAACCAAGTATTGCAAACTGAATACAGCAATTTTATCTTTTTATCACAAAAATTTCAAACCTACACAAAAATGGAGAGAATGATATGGTGAACCCCCATGTGCCCATCACCAGCCTGAGTAATTGTCAGTGTTCTCTGGATCAGATCATGTTTATCATCTCTCCCAACTACTTTTTTGTTGTTAGAGTACTTTAAAGCAAATCCCAGACATCTTTTGCATTCATTTGCTAATACTTCAGCATGAGACCTAATTTTCAACATGACCCACCACTAAACTATACTGTCTTAGATTTACATTCCATTTGTCACAGAGTTTCTCAACCTTGGGACTACCAATGCTTTGGATTGGATAAATTTTTTTGATTGAAAGATAGTTGACAAGTTGTGGTATATTTATACAATGGAGTACTACTCAGCCATAAAAAAGAATAAAATGCCATTTGCACTAACATAGATGGACCTGGAGATTGTCGATCTAAGTGAAGTAAGCCAGAAAGAGAAAGAAAAATACCATATGATATCACTCATATGTGGAATCTAAAAAAAACGACAAATGAACTTATTTACAAAACAGAAACAGACTCACAGACATAGAAAACAAACTTAAGGTTATCAGGAGGGGAAGGGGGTGGGAAGGGATAAATTGGAGTTCCAGATTTGCGGATACTAACTACTATATATAAAATAGATAAACAACAAGGTCCTACTGTATAACACAGGGAACTATATTCAATATCTTGTAGTAACTTATAATGAAAGTGAGTATGAAAATGAATATATGTTTGTATATGTATGACTAAACTATTATTCTGTACACCAGAAATTGACACATTATAAACTGACAATTAAGAAAAGAAACAAATTCAGTTGACTCAACCGGATCATTCTTTGTTGCAAGGTTGTCCCAGGCATTGCAGAGTGTTAAGCTGCATCCCCGGCCTCTACCCGCTAAAAGCCAGTAGCTTCCTAACAGTTGCGACAATTAAAGCTGTCTCCAGACATTGCTGAATGTCCCCTGGGGGGTAGAGAGCCACCTTCTACTGGAATTCTTAGATAGTTAAAAATTGTCCTGTATTATTTATAGTAGGATGTTTTCTGGTTCCCTTTTCTCCTCTATCCAAAAAAGGCGGGGAGGTGGGTGGGGCGGGGAGGGGATTGAAATCAGCTTTGCAAATACACAGTGATCAATTGATAATCCCTCCCAGACCCTCAGAAAACCATGAGAAAAATGCAAAAATTAGTGAGTCAAGCTACAAGGATAAGAGGATGGGAAGAGTGGGGGCATTTTGAAATAATTTTCATGTATAATTGGAATCGTAAATTCACCAAACCTGGATTTAAAGGTTCCAAATTTTATATATCTCTGTTCTTCCTTTCCCTCCCTCCCTCTCTCCTTCTCTTCTCCTTCCTCCTTCTTTCTCTCTTTCCCTCTCTCTTCTAGACAAATTGCCAGGAATGCCATTTTCTCTTCTGCCAAAGCGAGGGACCCACCCCTGCAGCCTTTCTGTGGTGACGTTCAGAAAGATTAGCCACTTCTCCAGACCAGGGTTTCAGGGTCCAGTTTCCTCCAAAGTCACAATATTCCCCATACTTGAGGGGCTAGGAGGGATTAAGGCCTGACCTCAAGAGGACGTATATGATCCAGCATAGTCAGTCAGGTCCTCTGTTTGACCAGAGTGAGCCTCTTAACCTTCCAACTCAGTGTTTTTCTATCCTATTACCCCCGTGGAAGCACACACACCATTTCCCTGCATCTATCTAAACTGATTTTCTCTCAGATTATATAGCTCATTTCTGACCTAGTGCAGGGTTCACTATCAGGTTCCTGCCCCCCCAAATCTGCCCACAATTTTGTGTTCTGGTGACTTAAAAACAAACAAACAAACAAAATAAAAACAAACAAAAAACCCTGCTGTGAGCAGCGAAGGCAAAATCAGAGAGGCAGGCTCAGAGTTAGCTGCTTCTAGGGAAAAGGCTCCTCCAGGTGGAGTTTAGGACTGTTTTAAGGTTGATTCACGGTGTATTTGTTTCTTAAATATTAGACTTTATTTACCCATCTCTAAGCGTCAAGAGTACCTGCAGGGTTCCGGGGAGAAGGTGCTGGCCAGTTTCCCAGTTCAAGCCACCATTCACTTCTACAACGACGAGTCAGACTCAGATGGGGAGCAAGAGGAGGAAACCCTGGAGGTGGAAGAGGGAAAGCGCCGAGACCCGCTGACAAACGCAGGATGGAGGCCGGGAGGCCACGGTGGTCTCCATGGTGATGGTCCTCTCCCCCACCGTGACTCTCCGGAGGATGCTGGGTGCTCCTCATCCGAGTAAACCGGTCTCTCCCGCGCCAGACCCACCTCACGTGTGCCCTTGGGGGCAGCCGTGCCAGGACTCTGCGTTTCCGCTGGGCGCACAGGGACTTTGGCCAGCACTGCCCGCATCGCGAGGACTCAGCTTTTACTCTTCCTTCTCCTGGTCATTCTTGGTGCCTTATTCATACGTTTGAGACAGGATTCTAGGATCAAGCGAACATTTTAGTCCACAGGGGTTGTTAAGTGGGTGGGGGCACCTTTCAAAGCACATTCAGCAATGTCACTCTGCTGACCAAGGGACAAATCTTTCCCGCACGGATGAATAACCTACCCACACCTCTCACTTAACCTGAGGCTCCTTATTTAGCTATTAATGCTTTTGTAAAAATGATTTATATTGTCATCCAAGACTAATGTGGTTATTTAGTGGCATTCTAGGGGGAGAAAAATATTTATAAAAAAACAAAAAACACTGAATACTTTGCTTAAGAGTGACAAAAATACAAAGATACGAATTGGGGGGTGGGGACAGTTCTAGATAAACATGTATCTGATTCTTGTCTAAGGGCTGTGTGTATGACTAGAGAGAATAGCTTAAACGCTCAACTGGGGACCGCTTTGGGCTTGTTACTTGAATACAGTAACACTGTTGTCAATCAGAGTACCTGATGTAACCTTATTTTCAGCTTTTTATATTTTGAGGAGCAAATGAGTGTAGCCGTCAAGGTTTTTTACTTAACCATCTTACACGTGGTTGTTTTCCCAGTTTCTACTTGAAATAAATATTTTGAAAGGAAAAAAATTGTTTGATAATCACCTTTTTTGTTTAAGACATTTTTAGGTTTAATTAGTGCCTGCTTTAAAGTTTGTAAGTTTGTCAGGATTTTTCTATATTTAACCCTTGAAATTATATTTATAGTTTTTAAGACTGCAGAAAAAGTATAAAAAAGAAAGCAAAATGGCCTATAAGCTCAATGCTCAAATAATCCATTAATTTTAAAAAATAGGAGTAATACATGCAAATATTCTAACAATCCAAACAGTACAGAAAGTGTTTGTTGCAAGTGAAACTCACCCCCTCCTGTCTTCCCTTTCTCTGTCCAAAGACACCCAACATCATTTTTTTAATTGCTCAATCCCTTTAAAAATTTACTTTTTTAAACTTTTTCTCTTTTCTATTTGCATTTTTAAAGAATTTTTTCTTTACCAAATGCTTTTATTCTTTCATTTTATTGTTTCATTTACTGTTTTTATTTATTTTATTTTATTTTATTTTATATTTTTATTGAAGTATAGTTAGTTTACAATGTTGTGTCAATTTCTGGTGTACAGCACAATGCTTCAGTCATAAAGGAACATACATACATTCTTTCTCATATTCTCTTTCACCATAAGTTACTACAAGATATTGCATATAGTTCCATGTGCTATACAGCATAAACTTGCTGTTTCGCTTACTGTTTAAAGTACCTTTTTCCAAACTTAAAAACAATTCTTATGGGCATATTTCAGAAAGGTTTTAAGATGGCTTATTTTGCTGAGTTTTAACAGAAAAATACTTGAAGTCTTACCTCTACTCTCTCTTCCTGTGATGCTTATTATGGAGCTGAAGTCATCACATTTGGCTTTAGTTCGGTTTCTTAATAAATCAGTTTTACTGATTACAAAGATCTGGCTCAATGATCAGTTTACTTGAAGAAACTGAATTTCACCCATATGCTGATGGCACTAGAATTTTAAGTGTGCTTAGTATATTTCACTTAAATTACTTAGAATGTGGCCAACCTGGTACAAATAAGGAAAATGAGACCCTTTAGCTATGGACATGGTAGCATCATAGGTCCTGTGAGTCAGGCATTTGTGAAACCGGGACACAGTGATCTTGGGGTTCCTGGGTTTTTGCAGGTTGCAGTGGTGGCCTGAGTTGGCTGCATAGAGGCTCAAATCTGAGCAAGTTCTACACTTTTGATCATGTATCCCTATCGTTTAAAAAAAATTGAGTCTGCACCTTAACATATAGTCACTTATGAACTCTACACTGAACCATTTGAAATTGCTGATATTCTGTTGTTTTGGCCTACAAAAATAGCAGTTTCATATACTCGACCTGCACATGCTATCAGGCTTATATGTTCTGCACATTATCAAATATACACGCACTACAGATTTTAATAGAGGATAGATGTATCAAATGTCCATTTTAAACATAATTAATAATTCAAAAATCCTTTTGCTCTCATTGTATATATTTATTATATATTATTATAGTTTAATATTTAAGTTATCTCACACAGAAGCATAAATTCATGTGAAAGAAACACATCAAACACTTACTAAGTCAGTATTTGTTTTCAGTCCCATCTACCAATTTTGCAAAAGTTTGTTGAAATTTAATAAGGAAATTTCCATCTTCCTTGATGTCAGTTTGTTCTTTTGGGGGGTATAATTAGGTTTTGTTTATTTTATTTTAATTTGGAGGGGTGGGGGGAGTAGTTAGACTGTTATTTATTTATTTTTAGTGGAAGTATGGGGGATTGAACCCAGGACCTTGTGGATGCTAGGCACACACTCTACCACTGAGCTACACCCTCCCCCTGAGTTTGTTCTTTAAACCAACAGATGTTGCATTTTGTATTTTTATTTAGCTCTATGATATATTTATGTTTTAGCCAAAGAATTTAAAAAATGCACTGAAACTTCTTAAGCATTTTAACACAGTTAAATGTTTTTGTTTTTTGTTTGAAGGTATACAGACTTGGTGGGGTTTTTTTTTTTAAAGTAATACATCAATTTCAGCAGAAAAGTTACCTAATGATAGAAGCAATTCCAAATATCCATTTTTCACAAGGCTCTTTTTCATAGCATGAGTTTCTTTTGATTTAACACTTACTTATTCACTCATTTTTAAGAATATCATCTTTGTATCAAAGAAACAATTTGTGTGTGTGTATGTATCTTGCTAAAATATTTGCTAACTGGCATATTTCTAACAATCACTTAGTTCCCACAAAAGGTCAGAAAATGTAAAAACTTTAAAGTTTGATTTTTTTTTGTTGGGGGGAGGTAATTAGGTATATTTATTGATGTTTAGAAGAGGTACTGGGAATTGAACCCAGGACCTTGTGCACACTAAGCATGTGCTCTACCACTTGAGCTATAACCTCCACCCCTAACATTGGTACTTTTAAGTGCTTTGCCAAAAGAAAGCTGGCTGGCTTGGGTTTAGTTCAAAATACTGTTGGGTCACTCCTCAGATGTTGACAAAGGCTTATAAAAGTTCCCTGTTTGCATGATCTTATTTTTATAAAATTAACCACGCTGTCTAACTTTTCTGAAGGAGTCAGGAGGCTACCTCTAGCTTATGTTCATCCTACAGCAAAACAAAAGAGAAAGAGAGAAGATTGCTCTTCAAAAGACTATTTTCCTTTCATGTGGGCTTAATCAGGGAATTTCTCTTTACAAATCTAGATCCCTGGCAATGTTTGCCTGTGTTCCCACTTAGAACCAATCAGCTGGAGCTGAGCCATGGCTGCCCCATTGAACAACCTTGCACTCTTCGATTCTCCAGTCTCCACCATTCCCTATTGCCTACATTTTCCATTTCCATTCATTTACAAAAAGAGAAAGAAAAAAAAAAACCTTTGATGGTATTTTCTAACACCTGCCTTTCCCCTTCAATATATTTTCTGCAATAGCTTGCCTAACAATGATGCAGTCTGAAATTTGGCACATGCATGCAGTGCCATTTCTCTGGAATCTTAAACATTCTAGTCAAAGCAGCCACTCCAACAACCATTACACTTAGCCAGGTTTTCATAAAATACATTCTTTTGAATAAGTAATTTATGCTTGAGGCTGACTTCCCTGACATCTTTTGGTTAGTGGTTCACAAAAAGTAGTTCATATTGAATCTTGCAACCACCACAAGCTGAAACATGTTAGAAATTTTTGTACTTTCACCCAGCTGTATTGCAAGCTTCAACATTGGATTATTTGTTGTAATATTTGTTTCTTCAAATTTCCACTACATTTTCATTGAGTCCTCCAGTGCATCTGCTAACAAAAGAATGCATCTCAAATTGTTGCCATTTTGTTTCCTGCTTGTTATTTTAACCAGTTTTACTGTGGTAGCAAGAAAAAGTGTTTCCCAGTGATATGTTTCTTTTTGAACTTCTCTATTAAACAAGAAATTGCAAAACAATCTGCTAAATACTCCTCATTAAGTTTGGCAAAATTTTGTAAAATACTAGATTGGGAATCACATGATTTTAAAGACGGTCATTGTTATCTAAGGTGTAATATACGCTTGAGTTTCAATGATGTCAATAACTCAATTTTTAAATTGAGTATAATTGATGTTAAGTTAGTTTTGGATGCACACCATAATCAATTTTTTTCTTGATAATTTCAATTATGTTTTGCTACCTTCTTATCAGATCTTTTTACCTTGTTAACGTGGCTGAAGATGAGCTTGTAATAAAGGAAGGTGTCAGCCTCGTTGTTTTCCCATGGTTTGCTTGTGTTTGCATTGTTTGTATTATTTTCAATCCCATTTCTTGGGCAGAAATTATTTTTATTGTGTTATAACTCAGGTACTATAAAAAGTATTCTTTGAAAATGTACAACTCAGTTTTTAGTATATTCATAGAGTTCCACAACCATTTCTACTAATTCCAGAATGTTTTCATTACCCACAAAAGAAACCCATACCCTTTGTCAGTCAACTCCCATTTCCTGCAACACTTCCAGCCCCTGAAAACCACTAAGGTACTTTCTGTCTCTCTGGATTTTTAAATTCTGGATATTTGACATGAATGGAACCAAAAAACAGGTGAACTTTTGTGGTTGGCGTCTTTCACTTAGCATAACATTTACAGGGTTCATTATGTTATAGTGTGTGTCAGTACTTCATCATTTTTTATGGCTGAATAATATTCACTGAATGAACAGACAATATTTTACTTACTGTTCATTAGTTGATGGACAGGCGGGCTGTTTTCACTTTTTGACTCTTACTAATAATACTCCTGGTCCCAGTATTTCCTATGAATCCCTTGGCACACTCCCCCAGATCTGTGGATTACCCAGGTGCAGACTCCCTGGCCTTGTTTACACCATATTCAGCTTCTATACCAACTTACTTTGGCTCAGAGAAAAATGTCCTGAATAAGGAAATAAGCAAAACTTTGTTTTGCAGATTTTTGCAGTTGGCCAGGCTTGAGACAGCACGCCCCACCACAACTGGTCCCCCACCCCCAGATGAGTCAGCAGTACCTTGCAGCAGCTGACTCACATTTCATGACTCATAGTGCATTTCCAGTAGCATTATCTTCATGTGGGGGAAACAGAATATTTGTTACCAAGGAAGGCTACAACGAAATAAAACAGGTACCACCACCTAGCCTATATGCCCCTGGAATTTACTTTTCAGGACTTGGTAGTAAGTTCTGGTGGGCTTCATAACAAAGGAATTAGAGACTTTATTTTAGTAGATTTTAAAGGAAGGCATGAAACTGCACTCTGAAATTATATAAAAGATTATCATTTCTCTTTATATTGCAGAAATCTATTTGAAGATTATATTGGAGTGCACAATTTTTTCTAGGATATTACATAGCAATTTTATTATAAGTATTAACATTAAGAAAATAAAAGC